CTTAGTGTTTTATACAATGATTCACATACCTTGTGTTTCATTCATGTACATTTTTAATACAATCAGTCTTATACATTATATTCACATAATTAGTTAGCTTTGCTCTATACCTATCATCATCCAGTCTTTTCCAGTCTCTCCACTGAGCCTTTCCCAGTCTTCACACACCCCCTTCAACCATCAAACTCTGCTTTACCAGTGACTTTTCCCTTTTTCCCTCTTCCTGCTCTATAGGTATTCTTTTTGTTGTTGTCATATGTCATGGAGGCTGAATCAATTCATAGCTGACCCTACAGAGGGTTTTCACACACTGTAAATAACAAGGGATGAGATTGCCCATCTTTTTCCCATGGAACAACTGGTATATTCAAACTACTTACCTTTGGGTTGTCAATGCAACTCCTTAACCTCTAGGCCATTAGATCTCCCCTAACCAAAGGTATGTTGTTGTTATGTGCCATCAAGTCGCCTATGCACAATACCTCTAAACTCTGTCCTATCTTGAGCCAATCTCACTGTCTCCAACACAACTGCCCCTAATAGCCCAGCCATTGTGTCAGTTTATCTCATCCAAAGTTTTTCTCTCCTGCTTTGTCCCTCCATCCTTCCAAGCATGATGTCATTTTCCAAGGACAGGTCCTTCATGGCAGCACACCTAGAGGATATGAGACAAAGCTTCAAAATCCTTGCCACCAGAAAGCAAGTTGGTTTCACCCTCTCCATAACAGACCTGTTTGTTCTCTTGGCAGACCATGGTATGTTCAATATGCTTCTGCAGCACCACAATTTAATGGTATTCATTCTTGTTCTGCCATCTTTACTTATTATCTAGCTCTCTGATGCATAGCAAAGACCATGGCCTAGATCCATCCTGACATCTTTGTACTTTAGCACTCTGAAGAGTCCTTGCAATCAGACTTTCCTAGTCCAACTCATCTTTTCATTTCCTAGCTGCTGGTTTATGGATCCAAGCATGCTGAAATTGTTGACAAAATCAATCTTTCCTCCGTCTATCATGGTGCTGCTAATTGACTTAGTAGTGAGAATCTCTGTTTTACTGATGTTGAGCTTCAATTCACATTGAAGGCTGCAACCCTTGACTTTCTGTATCAGCTGCTTCAGGTCATCCTCAGTTTCAGTAAGCAAGATTGTGTCATGTGTATTCCTCCAATTCTGATGACACATTCTTCCTCTTAAAGCCCAACTTCCTGAATGATCTGTTCCACGTACCAATTGAAAAGATATAGAAACAAGATACATCCCTGACACACTCCTTTTCTGATTTTGAACCAGGCAGGGTTTCCTTGCTCTGTTCTCATACCTGTTTCCTGATCCAAATAAAGGTTTCACATAAGCAGAATCAGGAACTCTAGATTCCCATTCTTCTCAAGGTTAGCCAATTTGTTGTGATACACAAAGTCAAATGCCTTTGTGTAGTCAATGAAGCACAGATTGACATTCTTCTGGCATTCTCTGCTTTCAGCCAAGATCAATCTGATATTGGCAATCATGTATCTAGTGCCATGGCCTCTTCTAAACCCAGACTATACCTGTGTTAGTTTTCTGTTGTTGTACTGCTCCAGTCATTTTTGAGTAATCTTCAGCAAGATTTTACTTGCATGTGATATTATCAGCATTGCTCTATAATTTCTACACTCTGTGACATCACCCTTTTTTTAGAATGGGAATAACTATAGAACTCTTTTAGTCAGCTGGCCAGATAGCTGTCCTCTAGATTTCTTGGAACAACTTGGTGAGCATGTCCAAGATAGTGCCTGTTTGCTGAAATAGATCAACTGGTATTATGTCAATTCCTGGGGCATTGTTTCTTTGCCAATTCCTTCAGAGCCTCTTCAACTTCCTCTTTCATTACCATTGCTTCTTGGTAATATATTTCATGAAATTCTTCTGTGTTAGTCAATTCTTTCTGGTACAATGACTCTGCATACTCCTTCCATCTTTGGTGTATCCTGGATCATTCAATATTCTGCCCATAGCATCTTTAAGTACTACAACTCGAGGCTTGAATTTGTTCTTCAGTTCCTTCAGCTTAAGAAATGACAAGCAAGTTCATCCTTTTTGATTCTGTAACTTCAGCTGTTTGCACAATTTATTATAATACTTTTCTTTGTCTTCCTGTGCTACCCTTTGAAATCTTCTGTTAGCTCCTTAACATCCTGATTTCTTCTCTTTCCTTTGGTTTCTCAGTCTTCTAATGCAATATACAGAGTCTCTCTGACATCCATCGAAGTCTTTTCTTCCTTCTCTGCCCTTTATCATGTTATAAAATCCCAATTATTTAATCATTAATAAAACTAAGCCATTGCCAGTGAGTTGAAACTGATTTATAGATGACCCCCTAAGGGTTTCTTCAGCTGTAAATCACATAGAAGAAAGTGGCCCATCTTTCTCCCATGGAGCCACTGATAGATTTGGACCAGTGGAGAGGTACTGCCTTTGGGTCTACAGGACAAGTCCGTATGATCTCCTCCACCAGTCCTTAAAGAACCAGTGAATATGTACATATGGAAGTTTGTTCTCGCTTATCAGTGATGGAAACAGAAGAAAGGCAAAGATAATTCAATGTCAACATGAATAATGAAATTAAAATGGTCTGTTAAAAAGATAACAGAAATGATTTCATTAATTATGCACAAAGTTTATAAATGTTCTACTTGAAAACAGACTTACTTCTATGATTTATTTTGTTCTAAGCAGGAAAAAATTAACTTTACTAGTCAACAGCTTCATCTTGCTTGGATCCATGATTAAAACCCATGGTACAAGCAGTCGGGAAATAATGAGACTCATTACGTTGAAAAAGTCTCCAATTAGGGACCTTTCAAATTATTGAGGAATAGTGATGTCAGTTTGAGAACTATGGTGCATCTGATTCAGGCTACAGTCTTTTAAAATACTAGCTATGCATATCAAACCTGGGCAATGATTAAGGATGATAGAAAAAGAATTGATGCCTTTGAGCTGTGGTATTGGAGAAGAGCACTGAATATCCCATGGATAGCCAAGAGAACAAACAGATATGTCTTGGAGAGAGTGTAGCTGGAGTGCTCTTTGGAGGCAAGAGTTATGAGGCTTCATCATACATCCTTTGGGCATGTTGCTAGGAGGTACTGTCTCTTGGAGAGGGGCATAATGTTGGAAAGGGTAGAAGGTTGGCAAAGGATTGACACAGTGACTGCTGCAATGGGCTCTTGTGTGTCAGCAAGTGTGAGGATGGTGCAGGACAGGACAGGATTCAGATCGTTTGTTCATAGGGTCACTATGAGTCATACTCAACTTGATGGCACCCAAAAGCAACAAGTTCTATCCAATTTTCAAAGGTTTAAAAAAATATCTAGAACTTCACTTATGTAGCTAAATAAACCATTTTCTATAAGAAGTCAGAGGAATCTTAGGTGAGCTCTGTAGGAAATATCAAGCATGGCCTTAAGAAAGTTCAGAATTTTTTTTTGTTCCTTTTGTTTTATCTTGTTTT